TTTTGCCGACAACCCAAGATTAGCAACGGAGTTTTTATACTTTCCGTTTGATGTTACGGAAAAGAAGAATAAGATATCGAAGTTACTTGGTTTCGCTCACAAAAAAGATCGAGTTATTTGATCATTTGTGTTCTGAAAAGAACTTTTTCATAATTCTCATGTAAATGTAGTTATTTTTTTTAGAAATACTTCTAGACTCATTGTCAGTAAGGTTTTCGATTTCTTTCAAGTTGATTTCATTATTGTTATGTCAATATATATATTTACAAGTCTTTCTCGCGTTACTGAGAAAATGCGACGAGAAAATAAAAAGCATTCATATAACCATTTTGCTTCGTATTACAATAATATCGATTTTGCACTCGGAATTCTCAGTTTTCAATTATTTTAATTGTAAAAAAAGTAATTTGAAACCTAACATCTTGCGACAAATGTGACATGATTTGTTTATTTATGACGGAGACAAATTCAAGAAATAAAATGAAAAAGAGAGAGAGAGAGAGAGAGATTGTAAACTGTTATGTTGTTCGCTTATATTCGGCACCACGCCGATAACTTGACGACATGTGCGGAACACACAAACATTCCGTCACACATTCGAACTTACGACAACTTGTCTGACGCATCGCGCGACCGGGTCTAGGAACAGCCAGTGAGTATATTTAAAAAGCGTATTTTCGCCCATTCACCATTGTGCTCCTGCGAATGGACACTCTCTTAGCTGGGACAGAAACGCGACGAGATCGAAAGATCGAGGTGTATTGATCGTAAGCGGCTTGGCTCGTGGGGCTTACCTTTTGTGTACGCGATCGGTTGTTGGCTGCGCGCGTAAGTTCACACCTTGACATAATCGGACGTGTTCGGACGTGCGGACACATTTGGCAACTATTACGGTCGTGACACTTACACCCCGCAGCACAGCCTCCCTTTCATCCAAAAGGCGACTACACAAAAATCTCGGCATCGCGCGACACGCTCGCGAGCAAACGTGAATGGGACAAGCAGAAAAGCACTTAGATCGTTGGAATATTTCTTAAATCATTACTTTTCTTTGGTGAATCTGATAAAATCTTATGTGTGGAAAATATTTTTCAATTCAGAATTTTACTCTCAAAAACATTCTGCAGTTCTGAGAAGATTGTAATTGGTACATCTTTATGCGAAATTCTAGATAAAATTCTACTTTGTGACAACAAGTTGTTACATTATTTATCGCTTTTGCATTTTGTCGAAGGCCGTTATTATTGAAAGCGTAATTGCAATATTATATGTATAATAACCGCTTCCCCTGATTTACTAGTTAAATCTTCAACCTGGCTGACGCACGAGGAACTTGGCGAGGAACTCCTGCGCGCGCGAAAAAGCCGCTTGCTTTTCTTTTGCGGTCTCGCGCGTAGTGCGTAGTGTGTGCGCGCGTATACTTACGCGCGCGCAACACACATTAACGCGCGCGCGTCCGTGCGCGCGGAACCCGTGTTGTATATACGAGGGTTCCATAATATAAGTTCATCGCGGGCGCGCTGATGCGTACGTAATCCCGTGGTGCTTACCGATAGCATCACCAGGGTTTTATTTTCATTATTCATTTGTTCGGTCTCTCCCCATAGACGGACCCGGAAAGCTTACACATATAACCCCATGTTTCTATGTCGGTTTAATCAGATAAAACCCTGCCGGCGAAAATCGGCGGGCACTCCGCGGCATGCGGCTGTTTTCGGCTGACGCGACGCTTCGCAAAACGCGCGTTCGCGAATGCACGCTCGTCGTCGGCTGCAATATGGTTTAACATGTAACGGAGACAGATGTCTGTTACTGAGAGAAAAAAAAATCCGAAACGAAAGAAACGCGTAACATCGTAAGAGAATTGTCGATAAGATTGTTGCTGACGGAGAGGGTTTAATTAGCTGGCGATAATGTCGCGAGATGCATCTCTTATGAATGAGATAATATTCTCGCGTTAAAAACAAAAAAAAAAACAAAAAAAAAAAACAATTCCGTGACGTTGTCAGAATTGTATCGCGTGTTTGCTGTATCGCAATATCTTGTTATTATTAAATGTGCGAAATAGAGCTCGTAGAACGTGTATAATTATTCGTTGATTACGTTAAATGAATCGGTGTGATATTTAAGCGCGACGAATTATGCGGCAACTTGAAAGCAACAACGTTGTGTGTATCATATGTGTTACACGTATTACACGTAACGCGTGCGAAAGTCACCTGGCTCGCTAGATGCGCTCGCTGTGCGCGTATATTTTTTCGCGCACACATCGCGAAACTTCATCAAATTCTTTAATTACCAAGTGAAGGATGATGTAGGAAGCGTGAGAGAGTCACCGCCGGAAGAGTGGAAGAGAGAAGAAGCGAGGAGAAATAAGAGGAACGTAATTAAGGGATTAGCTTAGTTAATGCAGACGCTGGCTTAACGAATCGTTATATAGAGGGCTGTTGCAAAAATATGTTTCGTCGAGCGCCAAGTCAGCTGCGCTTGATTAACAAAGCTCATGCATCAAAGAAACAAAAACTTCGCACATGTAAAACAAAGTAACAATGATAACGCAACGTGCCTAATTTGTTTTACAAATATACGGCGATTTGTTTTTTTATCCATATCGCGACAAATTTAAAAAAATATCTTAAAAATTTTATATTTTTAAGATATTTTTCTTATTAAATATTTGCATTATCATTTTTACAATAATACGGATGTATTACGTGTGCGTAAACATATCCCGTGTCAAAAGATAAATGGAAAATAAATTCCGCTTAAAGACGAGCTCGTTCTGTAAAACGTTCTTGTCCCTCCGAGACCGTGAGCACAGCGGGATATTGGTTGTCCCAAGGTGTCGATGTATATCGTCTCGTTTGGTTAAATAGTCGGAAGCAAGTATCTCCGGCCGTCATCGGGTACGAGAAATATCGCCCACGCTGTTTTTCCAACAAAACGCCAGCGGGGATGCTATCCGGGCGTCTTAAGACCGGAGCGGGAGGGATCTTCTCCACAGTCGGGAAACACGATATTCCCCGACATGGCCTGCCCACGTGTTTCGCGTTGACCGTTAAAATTCGCCTCCGCACACGCTTTCGCGATATCTCCTGTGCTGGTAGGCGGTGTATTATTTTTCCACCGGCTCTCGCCAAATTGGCTCGGCACGGAATCTCGAATTACTCGACACTCGACACCGCCGCGCGAGGAGGGTAGAACTTGTATCGTTTACCTCCTCCCTCTGTTCCTCTTACCGTTGAAACCCTCCCCCTTTTCTCGTTCTCCCCGTGTGCCCCGTTCTTTTTTCGAGGTATGACGAAAAAAATATTTCACACAATGTTTCAAATTCAATTCAGTCGCTTTATCCGCACCAGTTCCGACCGGGAAATGTCGCTGAGCACTCGTTGGTTCGAAATGACATTACGGAATGCAAAGAAGATACAAAGGGGTGTGCGGATAGTAAAATTTTGCGTAACATTTTGATACTTTGCTCTTGGAAAAATGGAAAAAAAAAAAATAAATAAATAAAAATACAATAAGAAAGATAAAGTTGAACGCAAGTTTAGAAATTCTCTCTTGAGCGCTTTTGTAAATTGTTTCTTTGAACAATGAAACGAATACGAAAGGAAACGACTAATTACAGGTGAATTAACCGAGGCAAAATGGCGCGTGAGACAAACGAGATCCACCACGCCCTAACGTGTCCATTTCTTTGTGCGGAAAAAAGGCGTGTCAGGCAGTACAAGCTTAAAAGAAGTATTGCACATTTATGTCAGGGTGTACCTCAACACGGAGAGTTATTGTAATCGCGAGCTTCCGTTCTGCGCGGCGCGCATCTTCCTCAGTGATTTTTTGCCCTTCTCTCTTTTGCATATTGCGATTCCCCGATAATATCTTCCCATCCTTGCCCATCGGGTCTCTCTCTCCCTCTTCCCTTAGCTCGGGCGTAACCCAATAGGCCTCCCATAGGAAGATCATACTTCGATACAAAAGCTGATCGCTACATCGCACGCGATCACGACGCACGTCACGTAAACTGACGATCTTCATAGCACCATTTGCTGGCTCATCGTATAACACGCCAATATTGCGCCCCTTCTTGAAACGGACCGCGTAATGTTCCTTAAAATTTCACCAACAACCGCGCACCAGTATCTATAATAATTGAATCGCAAGCGTGTGATCTCACGAGTTCATTCAAACTCTTTTTCGGCAATTTTTTTTTTTTCAACAATCCGTTAAGAAGTGCCTTAAAGGTTCTTTGATCATTCAATGTTTCTTTGTAGCAACTTAGAACGGAAAAAAAAAAAAAATTCGAGAAATACATTTTATATATTCTTTTCTAAAGCAAATAATATCAGAATGAAACTCGTGTTCGGGGGTTGACTTCGGTTCTAAAGCCCGCAGAAAACTCCTCTCGGCCGTAAATTGGAAGCTCGGAGCAGAGACTCGAACCCGTTGTGGCGTACGAACCTCGTACGATTTCAATTAGCCGCGTGCGTTCTCAAGATGCCACGCAACGATAATTCATGCGTTTCAAACTACGCGCGTCGTTATGCGGAAGACGATCTTGTCCGTCATTCAGGGCAAATGAGCCATTGCGTTCTTTGTATCCACTTTTCTTTTGTGCAGCGGCAACAGACGCGGCGCGTGGAACAAAGGTAAAGGGGTTTTCAAAACACGCCGCGACTCTTACCGAGAGAGAGAGAGAGAGAGAGAAAGAGAGAGAGAAAAAAAAGATAACACGAACGTTTTATTCGACCGCAGGAAATTTTTCGCGTTATTATTGGACGCACTGGGAACAACGTCGCGCCGTTCGCGACTCAACTACGACTTCTTGATCATTCGAGTTTTACAAGGCGTGACGAAGAGTAAATTTGTTCGTGATTCGCTTTAATGTGTCCAAATACGCAATTAATCAACGGTATATATCTCTGATTAATTAATTACTATATTGTTTATATATAGAAAACTTAATATCGCTCAATGGTGATTTTTTAGACACACGCTTGTATCAGTTTGTTTTTATTTATTTATTTTAAATCGACATATAAATGTGTGAAAAAAGTAAAGCGACTTTTTTTTTATGGGAATGAATAATTTTCTATATCTAGTTACCGACTACGCGTTACATTATGTTACTTCAAGTAACTTTTACATTAAGAGTTTCTTGAATAGATTCGATGAAATTTGTCTATTATGAGCGTAATAACTTTTTGTATACTAGTGAGAGTTTGTTCTCTTTCTGATTTGGCTTTATTCCTCGTTGCGATCATGCGTCTCAGATACCGTCAATATTCGAACCAGATCGGTGTTCGACTCCACGACGTTTTTGTAACTGACACTGTCCTGGTTCCTTCCCTTGAAACTCCAACTGCTCGTCGGATGTCTGAACAGGAATAAAATTGTAGCGATGATCAGAGAAAGAAGCAGTATCGATAAACACACCCACAGGATCGAATAAAGAACCGATGAGTCGTACTCGCACTGCAGCTCGTAATTTGGTACTTCAGTAAGGAGCTTGCCGTGGTGTCGATCCGGTGTGTAACATCTGTACGATACACAAACACATAGATATATTTTACGACATAAAATAAAATCAGATTTGCGATAACACAGTCATGTGATACTTATATTGTTTGCGCCACAATAAATAAAAAATTAATTAATTAAATTTCCTGTTGTGAACAAACTAAAAAGTTCGATATAACGAAGAGAATTTTATTTCACGGAATTCTCGAGACATCTACAGGCAAAGAGACCAAATTCGACGAATAATACGAGATGTGAAATATCGTTGCAATATTCTATTTTACAATATATTTTCGAGATAGACATTTGTGGCAATTGAAAAAATATTAATATCAATCAAGCGAAGAGGCAGTGGAGAAAATTATAGCAACAAAATAATCTTCAATCTATTGTATCTTCAATCGATATTTCTGCCAACTGAGAATAACATCGTGTTTATCTCTCACCTGATATTTTTACTAAAATTCTTGGTCAAGTTCACCGAACTATCGATCCAGTTTAATTTGCAATCGCATTTCCAAGGATTGTTCTCGAGCTCGATTACGGACACCCGATTCAGCAGTTCCTGCAATTTCTGATCCAACGTCTCAATGTTGCAATTCTTTATCGAAAGGCGCTGCAATCGTGGCAGCACGTGGCCAATCTGCAGCCCGGGGCTTAGTTGAATCAACCGTCTGCAACCGATCATCGATAACGTTTCCAGATTGGTCAAGTTTTCAAGATCGCTCAGATCAAACGACGTTAAATTCGACATATCGTTCAGCCACAGTTCTTGTAGCTGCGGTAGATACAAATTCTTGAGACTCGTCACTTGCGTGCCGGATAAATCCAATTCTCGTAGATTTACTGGCAGTAGAGGTATCGCGTTGATCGGATTCCATGATAAATCCAGAAATGATAAGTTGGTCAGAGTTTTGAACAATTTGGGCGAGAAATACGGCGCAGATATGTTCCTCAAATCGAGATGCTTCAGTGCTTGCAGATTCAAAAATGCGCCTTCGTGTATACCGTCTCCTATAGGATTACTGGCCAAAGAAAGATATTCCAGAATCTGAAAAGAAGGAAGTTAATTGCGATTTGTTTTTATAAAAACGGACAAGAAACATCAAGAAGATTAAAAATAATTTTTACTTTTTAAAATACGCTAGAAAATTTATATTAAAAATTTAACAGTAAAAATTAATATTTTGGTTTTTTAATTACCGTTAAGTGATACAACATGGTTTCATTGACGATGGAAAGTTTATTGTAGGAGAGATCTAATATCTTCAGCTTTAGTACTCGGTCGTTGAGCGCATTGTCATCGATATATTCTAGTTTATTGTAGCTCACGTTCAACATTTGCAGATTATATTCCTCCTTACAGAGGAAGAAGAATCGTTGCAAATGATTCTGGGACAAATCCAGCGTTCTCAATGTTTCCAAATTGGTGGAACAGTCTAAAAAACTATCGAACTCGTTTCCCCTCAAATTGAGATCCGTCACGTCCTGAAGCTTAATCTGTGACTGCAGTTTCACGAAAAAATCTTCCTTCTTTAATTTGCGAAACGACAGGTCGACCTGCAACGCGAATCTCTCGTAAAATAATTTTTATTCATAAAACATTCGAACATATCTGCGATCGAACGAGACAATACTGAAGCTAATAATTTTTAAATCAATAATGTATTGTGTTAAAAATAAACAAAACTTTTCTTTCGAAGATACATATAAAATTTAGAATGTGTTAGATATATTTCTATGCACATATTTAAAAAATCACGTGTAACAAGTGTTTTCTCTGTCTCTTTCTTTCACACACACGCGCGCGCGCGCACACACACACACACACACACACACACAAGAAAACATGAAATTAAAAGAAAGTGATAAACACGACAGGAAGTTGATATTTCCGATACAAAAGCTATATTTGATATAACATTGTGTGTCTCGGAAAATCGTAAACGATCGTCGACAGCAACGGGTCTGATCTGTGATAACAAACTTATATCGAGGAAGAAAAAACCCACCATCACCGTTTTCGGCGAAACGAGCGAAACGAAGACGGCAAAAAACGTCAGCGATTTCAGCCACATTGTGATCCCAGATGATAATTATCCGTTTAATTGATGTTCGGAGCGATCCGATAGAATTCGATTGACAGACCGCACCACCGAGGGACCACGCTTGGACCTCGCGTGGACTACGTTTTCTACACCGCAATCCGATGGAATGGCAATGAATTCATCCGCGACACTCTTTCGTCGAAGATGCAATCCCGAATTAAGAGGGGAGTACAAGAATCATCTGCATTATTATTACGATGTACTCAGCACTTCGATTAGCAAACGTTTTACTTATCCGTGATTAATGCTTTTCGAGAAAAGGACAAATTTTCACTTTATCCCAATAATCCAATAAATCCTCGTGAATCTAATCAATAAACATAAAATTACTTAGTTAAAATTATAAATGATAACATAACAGGAAGTAAAAAGAGATGTGTTAAATGTTGCAAATATTTGTACACAATATTTGTAAGAAATAATTTTATTATAATTAAGAAATTAATTTATAATAAGCAAGAGATTGTGTTTTTCCAGCTACTATATATTTCTCGGTGAATTGATAAAAAACTCGAACGATATACTGAACTCGTGTATTAGTCTTTTACGATTACAAGCAAATATTTTTTTGCAAAAACTCGGCCGGCGCCGCGACTCTCGCGTTTAATTTAATCCGTCCCCGGTCAGAAGTTCAGAATCACCGAGGCTAACGCACCGCTTTCCGATAAAGTGGCGATTAGGAGCCGATATACGGCGCACGTACACATACCCACTGATTCGCTCCCGGCTCGTCCCAGTGCTCTTCACTTCGTCAACGATTAATCGTACATAATTCTTCAATTAATCACAGTTTCGACCGATATCGCTTCATTTAAGCGAGTTTACGAAATGTACGATGCGTTGGGACGCGATAAATATTAATGTTACATCTCTTCGTGACGAGACTCTCGCTAGAAATGTTAGCATATCTGCTCCGCCGTACAAAATAAAAAACACAACAGCTATGAGCGATAAACCTCGCTTCTCCGTGTCACGCGTCTAACGGCGATAATGTTTACGCACTTGTCACAAGTTACGATAATTGTTACGAACCGTCGAGAGATATTTGTAAATGCAGAGATTACGATTTCTAAAGATTACCATTTTTTTTATTTCAAGAATATTAGAAATATAGATTATATTTTAAATTATTTAATAACATACTTTATTATATTAAAATTATTTAATCAATCGATATATTTTTTTCGGAATTTTTTATAAAAATATCTAGTTTTAATATTCGAGCGAGAGACAATGTGATATGAACATTTGAACATTATATACACTTTATTTTTACATCGAAAAATAATGTTTCTCACATGGCACATTGCACATATCGGGTCAGCTTAGCAAAAAATTAATCGTGCGAAAATAATAACAACAAAGTCATTAAATTCAGACATTTATTCACGGAATCGTATCTATTGTTTCGCGCTCGTCGCGGATAACAGCGGCTGGTCTTGCACGATTTATTATAACAAACGGTGCGATATTTCCAAATGCATATACAACGATAACAGAAACAAGAAGGAAAATATCGTTTATTTTTTCGGAGTTTGTGGGGTGCTGGTGGCCTTGAAAACCAGCGGATTCGACACGCGAAATATGCTGGGCAACATTGTGGCCAATGTTCCGAACACTTCCTCCGACATTCCCTGTAAACGATAACGCTGTATATTGACGACATATGTTTTCTTTTTTGTGTAACTATCGTCGGATTGTTCTTATCTTACTTTCGGCACGAGAAACTGCAGATTCTTCAACTCGGCTCCACCCCAGGACGCCATTTCGATCATAAATCCTTTCACGCACTTAAAAACTAACTCGGCTCGTTTCGTGCACCAGGCAACCGTCATATCCTACAATGATAGAACACATAAACACCTGTATTATGTTTTAATTTATTCAGAAATTATCCGCCCCCTCTTCGAATTATCCAAGCGATAAATGTTTTACCTCTGACATTTCGTGGACGAGTAGAACGGGTATTGTCAATGTCGTCACATCGTTGCAACACGCCGTCTTCAAAATATTTCTCAACCCCAGTATGGCGGGATGTCTCGAGTTGATATCGCCTGAATTGTAAATTGATTAACGTATCAAAAAGCATAAATAATATTATGTTTATTAGTTCATATCGCATTCGTGAGACGTGTTTGAAAATGTTTTACCGGATCTCAGAGAATCATTTACGACCATGTGGAAAACCACATGGACCTGCGCCAGATTGGAATGCCTCGTGATAAAAACGTCGCCAGTTTGCAAGCTCTTGCTCGTCGTGGATTTCTTCGCCTGCGAACAACGCAAATAAATTTTTTATGTACACAATATTAATCACAACGTTACAGTAAATTTTGATAAACATCGTTGTCGCGTACATGAGGATCGCTTCCTTCCCTGTAATGCGCCTGTCTCCAGGCAACGGCGTCCTTCACGTCCTCACGAATTTTTTCCAATTGTTCGTCGATCGACGGAAAATGAAATTCTGTCGTCAACTGACATATCGAGCACAATTCTGCAACGATATATTGCTTAAGTTTACAATAATAACGTGCAAACGGTCGATGACAATCAGTATACGACAAAAAAAGCACCTTTCGTTATTCCGGAATAACTGCCTAAATGATTATCGCTTAGGAGAACTAATCCGCACAAGTCGTTCGAATACAATCCTAAAGCTGTTTGCAATCTTTGCGGCGTCGGATCCATGCTAAAATTCAATGCGCATTTTTATTATAATCGATTTTTATATAAAAGAAAAAAAAGATATTGTATATTAAAATTATCAAGATGCACATAAGTCAGATATCTGTTATTTTTTTATTTTTTTTTTTTTATCGAGATCATACCCGGATTCGCTGTTTTTCGTGCGACAAAAATCGAGCACGTCGCCAGTTAATATGCGTATGTTGTGCATTTGTTTCATTTGAGAGCCTAAATGTATAGTGAAGCTTTCTTCTAACAGAGGATCGGTCGTTTGTTTTTCTTCGCTGTGAACGAATTTATCTAAAGCGGGACGCAATGGTGGCAGCGGTATCATGGGCGAGCCCCTAAGAAACGTGAAATGTATTTTTTTTATAAAAGTATACAATCACTCAAGCATTTTAGAAGAGAAATCCAAGATGCGGAAAAGATAAAAACCCTACATCGGTGTGGACACCATACTAGTCTGTTGCTCCTCGAGCAACCTCATAATCCAGTTTCGATACTGCCGCCGTTGATCCAGTCGCAAAGCATCGATTCTGGATCCCCAATAGCCCTGCAATAAACTTTGCTCCTCGAAATGACGGCCCGCCATGTCGTTTATGGACTTTTCGGTGGAACCCGCTTCGAGTGCCTCGACGGCAACGCGCATTTCATCAGTTTGTCTGGAATTTTTACACGATCCTTTGTTCTTTGCATCAAAATATATTTCTTTTAATATCCAGATAAATTTCAAAGTCACATCGCAATAGATAGATATTTTCTAGTTTTATGTTTAANAAAAAAAAAAAAAGACTAGAACACAAAACGATAAACAAAAAAAAATAAAAAAATATTTAAAAACTCCGAAACGTATTACTAACTTTTGCGTGAGATTTTCGTAGTCGGTATCTCTCAATTGAATTACTTCAGTGACATCCCGTCCGAATTTGTGTTCCGCTTGCAAAATCGGTTCCAACGACGGAGAATGCACCAGTCTGTGATACGCTGTGGCAAACAACTCCTCATCCGTAGTTCCGATGGGATCGGAATATTCTACCGTTTTTTGTTTGTATATTCTCTCCCAGGTTTTAATTATGTCCTCTAAGTCTAGAGCGCCCGTTTTCACGGTCTCGATGAGTTTCTCCGCTTTTTCGTCGTGAAACTGCAGCGTAAGCTCTTTGATAGTATGCTGCAGCGTCTTTAACAAGTCCGACTCTACGTAACACGGTAGCTTGAACGACGACATTATACGATGCGTCAATTCTTTTACGGAACCGTGATAGGGTATTTTTATTGGAATTTCCAACGTGTATTCCTGATTTGTGGTGCATGTGGGAAACTTGTAGACACAAATCTTCTCAACGTATTCCTCTTCTGCTTTACTCATTGTCTTCAATAACATTTTACTTATTTTTATTCTTCATATAGAAATTTTGTAGCAAATTTATTATGCAAAAGGACAGATATGTTCTTAAAGTACAAAATGATATGTTCCTAAGCAACAACAGTTATAAAGCAATTATATGGAACGATTAATTACAGATTAGAGCAATAAATACCACATAATTAACTCTTATCAGCATGTACGCCGACATTATGATGTGTACTTAAAAAGCGAGTTGATACATTTATCCTATCAAGGTCGGCTTTCACAATTTTGCGGGTTAAAAGGGCAAAGATAATACTTAGCAGCAATATTCGATGTTTATTGTCTATATTTATTTTGATAGCGACGGTTAATTATGAGTTGTAATTAGCTAAAAATTTGATGACACGTGTAACACAAGTTTGCGAAGACTCGTAACAAAAAGTTAATTACATACAAAATTTATAACATAATATGTAACACGTAAGTTTCTTGCGTGTTACGAGTTTTTTTAATTATAACTTATGCAAAAAACTGTATGCATTGAATACTTTTGCAATTTACATATGAAAGTAATTTTTTTATACGATTTAGTTTTTATTTCAAATTTCGATTTATATGTATTTCGTCAAATAACATTCCGAAATTTAAACAGCAGATACACAAAATGTTTTTTAATTTAATTAACATTTCAATTTAATTAATATTTTCTGAAAAAATTTATATTTGACAATATCGGAAAATATTTTTTATGTATTACATCTGAAAATATTTCATGTATTTTATCGTTTCTCACTTTACCGATTCACGGGGGCGCTAATGTAAGCTACAAAAATGTGACAAATGTCAAAGTATACACGATGCACAGTAAACAACATTTTGTACTTAGAAATTATATACATAAAATAATATAGTACTTACATTCATTGTTTAATTATTGCTACGTGCGTCAATATGTTTTGTTTCAATCACAGTTGGTTTTGTCAAATCTGCAAGCAGATAACATGTAACCTCTAAGTTTTTTGTTGCACATGAAAGTTCTTCGTGCTGTCATCGAACAAATGATGCAACTTTGTAAATTTTATAGAGCATCAAAATATAAATAGATTTTGCGACTCTCTTATCCGTCACTTTAAGAATATGTTATCTATATGTGACAATCGACAACTCTTTAACGCCCTCATGACAATTACCAGAAAGAAAACTAAGAGCGGCCAGAGCCATATGAAAAACCAGTAGCTTTTACGTCCTGTAAGCCAGCGCTATGTTCACAGGCGATGCACATTGGTAACTACATAGTCATGTTCACGAGCGACTTGTCGGTGCGTACGCTATGTCCAAACGTGGAGGGATACGCACCGACAAATCGCTCGTGAACATGGCTACATAGTTGCCAATGTGCACTACTCGTGGACATAATGCTGGCTTACAAGACGTAAAAGCTACTACAGTTTTTCATATGGCCTTTGCCGCTCTCAGTTTTCTCACTGCAGAAAAAGTTTTTCTCTCCTCCCTGTCACGTAACGTTATTTGGTCACGTTTTTAAAGACACGTGACCAAAGTAAAGACTTCAGTCACGTGTTGTTTTTACTCTTCTCCCTGAATGAATTACCTGACACAATTTAAAAACCACACGGTTGTGGACATAGTACGGAATAGAACCATGTTCGTTTGAACATGATGTATGTACCGACAAGTTGTTTGTGGACATGGCTACGTAGTTGCCAATCTGCACTACCTATGAACAAAGGAGTGCACCATATCGTTCCGCTCCAGGGGAAGTATTTCTCGAAAATTTCTCCTCCAGCTGTCCCTACTACCACGCGCCGTTTTCCTCCAATCTCGGGCCGCTGGCGGAGATCGAAAGAGTACGGCGCGCGGTAGTAGAAGCAGCCAGAAGAGAAATTTCAGAGAAAAAGTTCCCTTGGAGCAGAATAATACGGTGCACTTCTCGTAATATTGCGCTGGCTTACAGAGCAAAAAAGCGATTACACATTCTCTTAGACGTTGTCTACAATAAGAATTTAAGGTAAGACTTAGAGGTGGTTTATAATTGCCCTAACCGCTAACTTAGGCTAGAGTCCCTAGAACATAGAGTCTGGCAACTTGTTTCTCAAAATGGCGTCTTTGTATGGTGGGGATGACTCGTGGGCGCGACAAAATTTAAATTTTCTAGCAATATCAAAGTACGTTTACACACCACATACGTCTTCTTACAACAATGATGATAAAAACATTATCGGTGATTTAAAAAAAAAACAAAAAAAAAGAAATAGAAAACAATGTAGTTGTCTCCAAACCAAACAATAATATTCAATTAGATAATATTGAACTAAATTTTTTATATAACAGGCTATATTTAAACGAGTATAATTAGGGAAAAGAGTAAAAAAGAGAATATTATATATATTATATATAATATTCTCTAACTATGTATGTGTAATACACACACACTCACATATATATATATATATATATATATATATATACTGTAATCACGTGACCAAAATCAGTGACCCCGCCGCGGTCGCGCAGCCGAGGTCACTGACCCGACCAAAGTCGCGTGGCCGAGGTCAGTGATCCCGTCGCGGTCGCGCGACCGAGGTCAGTGACCCCGCCGCGGTCGTGATCTTACTGTAGTATGTATATAATACATATAATACAATATTAAGTGTAATATTATAAATATATACTAAATTATACGTATAATATATATATTATTTAATGTTATATATAATATAAATTACAGTCGCGTTAATTTAGTCACGTATTATTTTTCTACTTTTTTCTGTCACGTGACTTTACTTTAGTCACGTTTTTATTTTTCTTGACGTATACGACAAACTGTCAAAATCGCTTTTTTGTCATTATTTACTCTCTCGATCTTACCGATTCGACTTGTGTGACTCGTTTTTTTATATACGAGGATTAATCAATTCATATCTTGTGTGCACTATAAAATAAATAGCACAAGAGTAAACGCGACGTTTAAAAATACGCAAANTTCACCTTCATTTAAAATAAAATATACCTTATTTTTGTTGTGAGAATGTGTGTATGCATACGCCCTTGTGTATTTATTTAATCTATACGATCTCAGTGCTGTAATTGGTTCCTCCATTTTGAGGGTCTTGCGAGTTGAACCAATAACAGATACGATGAGTGGCCAGACTCTATGTTCTAGGGACTCTAACTTAGGCCACAGCCGTAAAAGTTGGAAAATAAAAAACGTACTATCGTTTATAATTGAATTATGAACAAAAATACGTATTTTCTATTTTCCAACTTTTACTGCTGTAGCCTAAGTAAGCGATTAAAGCAATTATAAACCAATCCTACGTCTAACGTCTTAAATTCTCATTGTAAACGACGTCTTATAGGCCTGGCCGCTCTCAGTCTTCACTCTGACCAAAGAGACCAACTGAAAATATACTAATTCAGCATACTAGTTGGGAGATGCTCTAGTTACAAATATAAAGAAAGAAAAGAGTTCCTTCAACCAGAGAGAAGACTGACAATGAGAACGGCCAAATCCATGAGAGTTTCTGCGATAGCTTAACTGTCTCGTAAACTAGCGCATCTTCACGAGTGATGCACATTGGAACTACGCAGCCATGTCCACGAGCGACTGTTGGTACGTGAGATATGTACAAACGTAGACATCAGTGTGCGGTTCAATTCTGTGCAATGTGCACGAATCCAAGTGTCGAAAATCAATTACACAAATGCACAAATTATTATTGAAAAACACCAGTTAGGTTTACATCTTGATCTATTAAGTCAACATCCTTCCAAGTTTCTGTAGAAGGTAAACATCGCGCGTAATATTCACGCAAGACAGCGTACGTTTTTTGTTATTTTATTTTTTAAATAAAAGCATATATCTCGGAAAATTAATTGCTGCTGTTATTAATATCAATTATAACAAATTACTAAGTTCGCGCTTCTTCAGGTGTGTGAGTACTCGCGAGCGTAGATTTGATTTCTTTTGAAATTAAAAATGACCGGTCACGTGATGAGAAGATGAGGAAGGAGAACAAAAAAGGATAAGGACAAACATTGCAACTTTCCACACAACATACATCTGATATTCAAGCAAAAATGTAATAGTCAGGAAAAGAATATTATTTTAGTGAGCAGCATCAGAATTCACGGAGTGTAATATCACGTCCTTTTTACATCATCATTTGCTGCTCTTTGTTTAATACATTTTATTTTATTTTTTTTAAATCACTACATATATTTGTATAGATATACAACACACAAAAAAACATGTATATTACATAAAAGTGTTTTACCGGTACACAAATATATATGTCAGAAAAGTTGCAATTTCAAGAAGTATATCTTTTACTGCTTTATTACAATTCTTTGTCAGTGTTTTCATTTTTCAAGTTTCATTTTACATATTTTTATACATTATAATAAAATACAATAGTTTACATATATTACGTATAATATTATACAACATACACACACACACAATACATATAACATACAATATTATACAATATAATACATAGTATATATAATCCTACCTACCTATCTTAAACATCTGACATATCTTAAACGTTACTAGCCTTATTAATTAGGATTAAGGTTGCATGACAGCCTTGATCCTAATTGTACATTTTTATTTCTTATACCTACCTACCTCTGATATCTAACATATTTCCTACCTATCCAACCTAATTTATTTTCTACAAAGAGCATGTAGATACGCATCCCTACACATATATCTATCTACCTACCTACTTATTTACTTTGAAAAGCTTTAAAACCTATCAAATATTTTACGCGAGGGGCAATTGTTTTAAAATTAAAAAGTATAATTTTAAATATATTTTAGTTTCACGTCCGAGTTTTGTTTTAGATTTTATGATTTGAAGAAGAATATATATTCACCCGATAATAAAGCCCACCATGTATAATTAGAAGAGATAGAAATATTAATATTCTATAATAAATAGAAAAAATATATATATTTTAATATCAAAATATATATTTTAATATATATTTCATATATATATATTTTTGCAAAGATAAAATAGAAAAGAATAAAAATGTGGAGAATAGATATAAAGAACGCGTAAGTCTCTAAAAAAAAGATTCTATATCGGTTCTTTAAGAGAAATTGATATAGAAATATAAAAGTGGATGTATAGAAAAAAGATATAAAGAATATAAGTCTTCAAAACAAGATTCTATATCAGTACTTTAAGAGAAATTGATATAGAAACATAAAAGAACATAAGTCTCCAAAAAA